CACATCGCACTAAGCTACACCTCTTGACACAAAAACCTCAGCCTTTGCATGCGTTGGGGAAGGTGTTGGCCCTTTACCGCTAATCCAAGACGACAAAACCTACAAAAAAACACAACTTTTAAAGCGTAAGAACTGTACGCCAGCACCCCGATGTACCTAACCATCGCCTCAATGCTCATAATGAATCTGCAGCACTAAATCCTACAGCCTTTGGCTCGAGAAGTTGGGCCCAGCAAGGAGTAATAAATACTAAATGCAGAGGCAATGGCTCTTCTCTTCATTCCATGCAGCAAAAAAAAGCATAGGAGTGAACAGGGAGGTGCATGGTTAAACCTGCAGGCTAAGGGTTTTGCAGAGTCTTTAGGCGTTACATGATCCGGAGAATTAGTGAGCAACGAACCACAAAGGACCCTGTGAGAGGCTTCCCGCCGAGTAATGCTGCAACCACCCTGAGACAACAGAGCAAGTGGGCGGCTTCGCAGTTAAAGCAGCATAAGCTTTAGCAGAGTCATACAAATCGGACAGAATTATTTTTGTGAGCTTGCCGAATACCTGATCCGCTTAAATTTCAGCCATCAAGCCTAAAGCGAGTGCTATAAATCCTTGCCCACTTGCCGCCAAGGTAGACCCTCGCATTGTGCGTCAGAACGGCCGCAATCATTGGGAGTCCACTGCAGAAGGCGAGGAGCAGCAGCAGGTTCCTTCTTTGCTTCGGGTGCGCCGCAACGATGCGAGAGACTGCCGCGCAAGATAGCAGGCAGAAGAACGAAGCAAACACCTCTTGCCCAGACTGCCACAAGTACACCTGGCGGCCCAGCTGAGACGTCAGCAAGTCCACGTAGGCGCCAATGCTGCAGCACACGGCAGCAGCAGCAGCTGAACTTCTTACTAAAAGCAGCTGGAGCGACCCCATCCAAGCTGAGTGCGCTCGCGTGGAGCAGATCCCGCAAAAGGGAGACACAGGTGGACAAGAGCAAGAGAGATACAGCCCAGAGTGGCAATCGAGACCGAGTCAACAGCACGACAGAAGGCACAGTAGACGCATTTGCAGTCCAGCATACCTGAAATGTGCAGGAAACACCTCTAGCACCGTTAAGAGAACCGCCCATAGAGCTGGACTATCCTTTTGCCCCGGCTGCGAGTTTTGCTGCTCTGCTTGGCGGCCGTAATGCACTCCCAGCAGGCCGTGGCGCTGCTGGAAAGGCGCAAGGCGTTCGCCCGTGCTGCTCTGCATTTTGGGGGGCCCCTTCTGCTACCCCCTGGGGCCCCCCACGTGGCACTCGGGCCCAGGCGCTGCCTGGGAGCGCTTCCTGCAGATGCAGGAGCACCAGTAGCAGCTTTATCCCCTGAAAATCACCCTAAGAGGAACTGATGCAGCAGCAGAAGGGTAAACCAGTGATCAGTCTTCTTCGGCCCCCCGTAAGGTGCTACAGCAAAAGCCTGTCTCTGCCAACGAGGCCCTGGCAGCGGAGTAGCAGGTACTAAGAGCTAGAGCTGTGTCTGCTCTTTTTGCTGCGAATTTCCCCGCCCAAAATCCAAGGGGTGCACCCAAAGGGAATTCCACGCCTTATTTCAGTTCGAGAACACCGGGTGAAGCTTTTCCCGATGCGGGGGGCCCCGAGCCTATCGGGGGCCCTAGGAGCGGTACCACCAGCAACACACTGCCCATGTCCCTAGAGGTGGAGACAGCTTAGCACGAGGGCTTAACGTGCGAAAAAGAGTCTGCTTTGATAATCAAAAATGGCTGCGGTATTGTTTGGGGGATCTGTATCTGCACGGTTCTGCATTTAAGCCGGATAGTGCACAACTCTAGTCAGTATATCTCAGCCAGGACCGAGCACCAGCAGCACGAGCAGTAACAGCAGAAAAAACAGCTATAGATGCTGCTTCAGTTGGCACTGCTTTGCGAAAGGGATGCGGTGTGGGGCGAGTGAATACCTGCACATGATGCTCCCCGGCAGGGTATTGGACAGGACAGAGGGCGAGAACTGCAGCGGGCTCTGCTACAGAGAAGCAGGTTCAACTACACAAGTTAAAACCAGCAGTTGATTGGTAGCTACATATGCAATTTTCGCATTTCTTTTTCGGTCAGTTAGCTCCGTATGAGCAGGCGCAATGTGTGTGTGTGTGTGTGCCTTGGATTCTATGCGCTACTAACTGTGAATGTTCCCACAGCCTGAAAGTATCGAATTACGTGCAACCTTGTTGTCTATCTCCTCTCATACGAGACACTTTAAAGGACGCTGGTAGGTTAAAATGTAGCCTTTCTGAAACGGCATGACTTTCTATAAAGTTTGTCCTGAGTTTGGAGTGAAGTGTCTGTAAAGCTTCAACTAAGTTCTCCGTGACGAAACACCTAACTTCAAAGTCAATACAAATATATTAAAACGTTCTCGAGTGCTTGCATATAGAGCTCCCTCCTCTGAAAGCGCCCGTCGGACAGCCCTAGGATGGGGTGTGCCTGGCCCTGTCCTCTAAGTACTCAAAGCGTTCCAAGTCAATTGCATATAGCATCCAAGGCATACACAATCACAGCATTGTGTATCCTTATTCAGCGCTGGCAGTACACTGCAGTAAATAGGAACTGCGAACAGAGAAACTGATTCGTCAGATCTTGACGAATCGCTAATTAGGCGCGCCTATTTTCCAGCTTGCCACGTCTTTCCTTCCATTTTCATCTGCGCTCTCGCGTGCCGTCCTTGTCTGGAGACACTAAATGCGTGGAAGAGAGCGGAAAAGTTTCTGCCCTATTGCCGCTCCCCAGTTAGGTAGAAACACGGAAAGCAGTGCAAATCAGAGAGCAAAACGTGCATCTAACGCATAAGAGAAATTGGCTGAAAGGCTATACATACCACCAATCACGAAAGCGAACGAGGGACCACGCTGGTGCGACCGCGGGGCCTAGTGCCTGGCTGCCATTAGAGTGATGAAAGTGTGCGCCTCCTCCTACGCGCAGTTGGCATGCAAGTAAAAGGGGTGAAAAGGGAACTTAGAAACCTTTAGTTCATCAGTACCTTTGTGCCGCATAGAGTAGTGTCTGCTCTCGGTGCGTGCAGTGAAGTTCATTCCTCATCCTTGAAGGATGCATATGGACCAAATTTTGAGATTTACATTACTGAAGAACCCTGCACATAAAACTGATTGTAAAAGAGACCTTGATAATGATAAATTGATGCTTTTCAAGCACTATCCACTAATAAAGGTAGCTATCTTCAGGCACAGGATTCGCTGAGGAACGACAATACCCAAGAAGTGCAAGGAATACTGTCCATGAGGACTCGCGATGCTAAAAAGACAGAGCCGCATATTCTCCTGCATGCCGCTAAGCCTACAGCTGCCCCTTCGTCCATTATCAAGGATGGCGTTCCCACAGACACTTCACTAGAAATCCTTGTGTAGTGTGTCCTTGGCGGGCGTTACTCCCAAGGTCAAGCACTGTCAGAGGCTTCTGTGGATCCCCCGCCTCTACATTAGTAGCTTGCACGAAAATGTCCACGAAAAATTCAAAAAGCTTTAAAATGCTTTTAGGCAGCCAACAATAGGAGCTCTGTGGTACCTCGAACTATTAGTAAATCCAATAGAGAAAGAGAGTCTTTTGATTACCGGCGAGTCGCGAACGGTCCTATTCACCTCGCTACAAACTTCGTCATGTGACAACCTCTGATGCACCTCTTCATGTACGCCGAGGTACTATGACTAAATCTTCAGGCTCCAAACACACGAATAGCAGCCGCCTGCTTATCATATTTTTTCCATGCTGCTCTCTCCTGAGGTGTCCATATACATTCACGCGCACTAGCCAGCTTTTATTTGGGTTCTTCCGCAGATAAAGGCGGCTGAGGTCACCAAACCTCTAGGTCAACCTTGGACTCGAGAGGTTCCTCCGTCTAGACCAGGAATGCAGGAGGGGAACGGGTAGGCGGCTGTACTAGCGCATTACAATCCATTTAGTATAGGGCAAAAAATCACGCCAATCAATTGGGGGTTTCGGCCAAACGCTCATAAATTTCGATAAACTTGCTACTGCATTTCAGCTGGGGGTATAACAACTCCAAATGGCATATTGGTATACTCTTTCGTGCGCGAGTAGAACGTGATTTGTGTGTGAAGAGGGAATGGGGAGAGCTCTCATGAGAAGCACTGAAGGGCTCTTTGTTCAGATTGTACCTGGGTCTGGAGTTAAGCATTGATTTACAAGGACCCTAGTTGGGCTGGTACGTGGATCGCCCGGGAAAAAGAAAAGTACGAACATTGAGAAAAAAAAACGTAGGCAAACGTGGCCTTTTCCATTTCAAAAGAAATTTTTAGCCTGCCCGATACTTCGCTCTTTGGTCTTGCTTCCCGCTTGCTGGCTGAGTTCTTGTGACTTTGTCGTATGGAGATTCCCCGACTTTACTGCCTCGCTGGCGGTCTTTTTCTTTTTCCTATCGTTCCTCTCTTTGTCATTTTGCCTTCCCTACATCCCGTCTCTCCTCCAGCAGCTCCTAACTAGTGCTTCTCCCCTGCCTGCCCCGCTGTCCCTTGCTCTCCCGTACTCGCCCCTGTGCTTATGGCAATGTGTTTGGGGTGGTTGCCTGACATAGCTCGGTCTGGAAGGCTCAAGAGCGAACACGAAGTTTCTAGGCGGGAAGTGGGGCAGGAGAGGGGGAGCGATAGACTCGTACGAATCAAAAGGTAGATAAAGAGAAACGGAGAGGGACGGGAAAAACTTTCAGGCACAGCCATTTGAACTTAAAAACATGGCAAGAAAGTAGTTTTGAGACCAAAGAAAGAAAACAGTCGATGCGCATTTATACAGGAAAATACACTGCAGACCTCGCTAGAAGGTGCAACGGAGCGTTGTTTGTCTTATCCAAGGAGCAAGGGAGGAATCTTCAAGCAGCAAAGGGTGTTGCTACAGGGCAGTTGCTGTCAACAGCAGACCCTACTACTGCTGCCCGTGATTCGACTGCGACAACAGTTGTTGCAGGTAAAACTTGATTTGCTTTTACAGTAAATTGCTATAAGAAGTCTTCTTCGTCAACCTCAGGGATAAGAAGCTCTGAGACCTTTCCGGCGCCTCCTTCAATCGCGTCAGCAACCCTTGGCAGCGAGTCTCGGTGTCGTTTGTCTCTCGAGCCTGCTTGCGCACCAACGCGCATCTGATGCTGCGCTGGAGTAGCAACACTGGCCGCTGCAGTAGCAGCACGGTGCCGCTGAGCCTCTTCAGCTGTACGCTGCTGCTGCAGCTGGTGCTGATGCAGCGCGTGGGTACTGGCGCTACATCCACGCAGCAAGTGCTGCTGCAGCTGGTGCAGCTGCTCCTGTTGCTGTTGCTGCTGCTGCAGGAGCTGCTCTGGTGTATGAAGGCCAAACGGCTGCCCAAGCAAGTGCGGGGGTGGCAAGGGAGGTGGCACCCCGTGCTGCTGCATGTATTGGTCGTGCTGCTGCTGGAGCATAGCAGCACGTTTCTTATCTTCAGCTTCCAAGACAATGGCCGCAACAGCGGCAGCAGCCGCCGCCTTTTTTCTGTTGCGATTCTTCGTTGCCACACCTCCGCCCCTCCGCTTTGTCTCTGTTTGAAAGGCACCTGAGGGGCCTCCTTCAGCCTGCTGGGTATCGCCAGCAGAGCCGGCTGCCGCTGCGGGAGTTGCTTCAAGTAGAGTGGCAGCAGAAGCCGCAGAGCCTGTGGCAGGAGCCGCGACTGTATCTTTTCCCTTTGCTGCACCATCGTTGGCAGTCTGAGCAGCCGCTGCAGCAGCAGCCGCAAGGCCGGTTGCTGCCGCTGTAGGGGCCTGCGGAGCGGCGGGCGGGGCACTTGCTGCTGTAGCATTAGCTACAGGAACCGTGGTTTGAGGTTTGTTGGGAGTCGGAGAGGAGTGGAGATGCGGGTGATGTTGTTGATACTGCTGGTGGTAATGCTGTTGCTGCAGCGGGGGTGGAGTTACGGGGGGGGCGGCGACGGGTGCAGCAGCAAGACGCACAGCAGCCAGAGGCAGCCGAGGAGGTTCGGACTGCAGATCGAAATGCAGCAGCTCCAAAAACTGCAGTAGACGGGTCCTGAAGGGAAGCAATACCAGCAGAAAATCTTATGTGCGCACTAGCTTCACTGCGGTTAGCAAGCCTTCCCGCTGGCTCCAACCCCTTGCAGAGCCAAGGGCAGCACCCGTGTGTGGCTTGTTGCAGCTGCTACCCGAGGCTGCAGCGTTGCTGGGGCTACCCGCGCGTCTACCGCTTTTGCGGCTGCTCCTACTTCGGGAGGAGGAGTTTAGGGGGGGGGAAAAGGCGGTGGGGTCCTGCTTTCTGTTGCCTGCCACCCCTCGAATCTCGACATTCCAACTGCTTCCCTCGTATTTACCTGAAGGAAAGCGGCGTCAAGGCTTCTGCAGCAGGAACCTGCAACAGCGCCCGAAAGTCCAAAGCAGTGAGACGGAGCAGCAGCAGCCTCTGGCTGTGGGCTACCTGCAGAAGCAAAAAGCACAGAGATGTTGCAAATGGCTACAAAGATGTCATGTCTGAAGCCACATGTTCTTCCTGCGGCAGTGCTGCACGTAGGGAAGTACAGAGGGACAGGCTCCACAACAAGCTGCCGCGTTACGGGCTCCGCTGAACCAGCAAAGAGGGTTGCAACAACGAACCTCAGCAAATTCTTGAGCTTTTTCGACAGCCACTTCCTCTGGATGCGCTCCCTGCTGCGCGTGTTGCTGCACTTCTCCGAAGCCTGTGGAGCCGCCACTACCGACCCCAGACGCAGCAGCGTCTGCTGCGCCTGCTGCGGATGCAGCGGATGCCGCAATGTGCATGGACGCTTCATGGTTCTGAAGCAGAAACAGCAGCCGGTGTACCAGTATGGGTGTGAATACAGGGTGGAATGAGCGGCAGACGCCTACTTCCATGGCAAGCTTTCCGCGCTCAAGACAACAATGGCAGCTCTCAACAACAGCAAGCACAGCAGCCAGCAGGACCTCATCAGTCTTGGCTGTCTGGTTCGCTCCCCCGATGCTGCGAGCCTTGAGTCGGTGCTTCACGCGGCGACGGCCTTCGTTGAGCCGATGGAGTCTCTCTGCCTGCAGCACGACAGACAGAGACTGTCGAGGAAAGGGGTCGTGAAGAGGCACACACACCGTCACCACAGACAGTCAGCGGCCACTGCAGCAGCAATCGAATGCACCAAAAGTGAGTCGCAGGAGCAGCTGGAGAGGCTGGAGCGCTCGGCGGAAGCCAGGCTATGCGACTTTGCATGTACGAAACTCGAAAATGACAGAACACGAACAAGCAGCGTGATGCGCAAAGCGGAAGCCTCCAGGCAGCTGAGACAGCAGGGGCCGCTGACGGTAGTAGCAGGATGACTAGGAAAAAAGGCCAGCAAAAGCTTTGCATAGAGGAGTGCAGCCACGAGACAAAAGGCGAGTGAGCACAGACGCTCCAACTAATGTGCGCATTGAGACTAGGGAGATGTGTTGAATCTCACAATTTGTTGATCACTTTCTCGCCGTAGTAAAAACTCAGCTAACAGGCCATAATTTGACTTGGCCCTTAGGCCCGTAGCTCCCTGGTGCTGCTGCGGCTCCTTCTGGTCCACCTGAAGCGGCGAAGTCGTAGTTGCTGCTTCAGCAAATCCACCTCCAGCAACATCTTTGACGTGTCCATGTGCCGATGCCGCTGTCTCTCCTGCGTTGCTGCTACTGCTGCCGCACTGCAGCAGCCGAGAGAACATGCGATCGACGCGGTAACACGATATCGCCTGTAGACAAGGGGAGAGCAGCCTGCAGCAGCAGCAAAACACCCCAAAACCAGCATTCCCCACTTTCCTGAAGAAACCCCAGTTATCGCTGCAGCCACAAAGGCCCCATGCAGCGAAGCCGCGGAAGATACCGCACGTGGGCGTCGCCAGCAAGCAAGCAGCTCTAACCGCATCCAATTCTGCAATTCTGCAAGGGCAACAAAAACGCAGCAACTGCATGACTTACATGAGCCTCAACTGTATCGCGTCGAGCAGCCTCTCGACAATGGCTCCCTCGTCAGCAGCCACGAGCGACATTCCCGTTAAGAGGCCCATGCGCCGGAGCGTCTGCTGCAGCTTTCGCTTCATGTACAGGCGCAGCGTGAAGTGCTGCTGAAGCTCATGAGGCATCGCTTGCGGCTGCTGCTGCGGCTGAGCAGCGGAAGAAGGTGCCAGAGGTCTCAGGATGTGCTGCTGCTGGAGCTGCTGCTTCAGCAATTGACGCAGCTTCTGCTGCTGCTGCAGTATCTCGGTAGCGGGACTGTTAGGAACCCACGACCACCCCCGCTGTTGCTGCTGCTGCTTCTGCTCTTCCTCTCCTGCCATCGGCAAGTGCTTCCTTATAACGGTAATAAACTTTGGACGCTGCCGCAGAAGCTGCGGCCTAAAGAAGCGCCTCTCTCCCTGTGTACCATAGTCCGCCTTGATCAAAAAATTGTTGCTACCACCGCTGTTAGTGTTGTTGTCTTCATTTGGATTCATCACACGTAAACGCTTTGCAGCAGGGCTTTGTGGCACCTGTACATGGGACCCCGCCTGCTGCAGCCGTTGTTGCTGCTGCAGAGACTGTTGTTGCTGCACCTGTCGCTGCAGGAATTGCTGCTGCTGCTGTTGCTGCTGCTGTTGCCGTCGCTGTTGCTGCATGTTACTGCAGCTACTTATGGCCTCAGCACAAATGTCGGCAGAGACGTGGCCAGCCATCTGCAGCTGCTGCACCACCTGGGAACCCCGAGGCTTCTGCAGCAGTCGCGCAATGAGGTCTACTTGCCTGCAGCACATCGTGGCACCAGCAAGTGGAGCATTCGCAGTGAAGAGAGCCGCACAAGCAAGAGGCACGTGTTTCTCTCAGAAGCATTCAAAGCGCTGACCCTTCGAACAGCCGCCTCCCGTGACGCACGCAGAGCAGCTGACACACAGACCCCACCCAGCGAGACGATATTGGAGACTGCCTATAAGAAACAGCCCAAGAATTGACGGCTGCGGCTACTGCATGCGCCATCCTTTAGGGCCACATTCCCAAGCAACCCCAGCGTCCAAGGCAAACGCAGCTGCACACCTTTCCCGAGGATAGGAGACGATTTTGGCGATGGTCTGCGGGTCGATCAGCAGCTGCGTTATCCACCCACACAAGAGAACTGACCCCTTTCCACCGACTGGCAGCTCTAATATTGCGAAAAAATGCCAGCAGGCGCTCCCACTGAGACACCGCTAGTCCTCTGGCCGTCTACACTGACACTGGTATGAGTGCTAGAAATTACTTGGCTCACGGGTGACTGCGTCTGTACAGCGGCGGCATTTTCCGGTGTATCGGGAAAACCAGGAGTAGCAGTAGCAGTCGCCTGAGTAGGAAGTCGCGTAAGACTTGCTGCTGCTGCTGCTGTGTCGTGTTGCGCCACCCGCTGCACCTGTTGGGGCTGCGTTAAGGGCAGCTGACGCTCCGGTTGCTGTAGCAGCTGCTGCTTCACGGATGACTTTGGTGGCTGTTGCTGAGAGAGCTGCTGCACCTGCTCCTGTTGCTGTTGTTGCTGTTGCTGCTGTTGCTGCTGCTGCTTGGCGAGCTCATACGCGTTTTTCAGCACGTCTTGTACACGGACGATCCCCCGCTGCTCCAAAGTGTGCAGCAAACTGTTGAGGGATTTTCCGCCGCTCTGGGGAAGCTCAACGCCCTGTGAACAAATGCCGGAATGAGTTGAGAAGTCAGTAGGCCTTGAGAAGAGACTTACTTACGCTGAAGGGTGAAGACCGAGCAACGCTGTAGGGGGGGTGATGAAGGCTTCCGTTAAACATTTATCATACACGCATGCACGCGCCGTAGGATGGAAGTTCTTAAAAGTAAGCGTTCAAAACATGGGCAGAGGACTCACCTGGAAGCGTGTAGGGTCCGCCTCTGCCATGCGTTGCAGCAGTAGCAGCACATGCTTTGGCTCCACATTCCTCTGAGCTCCCCCCCGAGATTGCTGCAGCTGCTGCTGCAGCGAAGGCGCCGGTGAGGCCGTGTCAGACTTTAGACCCCCTGGAATAGGCTGCTGCTGCTGCTGCTTGTGCAGCAGCGGCTGCTGCTGAGGTATGCCCTGCTGCATGGCTGGGAGCCCATCGGTGCCAGCAGACAGAGTGCCTCCGCAGCCTTTTGATGAGCTGCAGCTGCAACTGCAGCGCTGAGTTCCCTGTACACACCAGGGTTTCCCACAACCCCAGCCGTTTGCCGTAAGGCGGCACTTTGCTGGCTCACCGCAAGCACGTCTCTTGTTGTTGCTGCTGCTGCTCCGAACTTTCAGCCAGCATCATAATTCGAAATCACAAATCCGGCGGAAACTTTCCCCTCGCTTCTGTACAGGAGCAACGCTCCGGCCTTCGGGGCTGCGGACCCCGCTCTCTATGCAAAATGGGCAAGGTCAAGGACCTCTGGCATGCAGCAGCAGAATGCGGTGTATCTAGGCTTTTGCCAATATTAATTATGGATAAAATACCTCAAGCGGAGCGCGTTAGCTTCAGCATTCCCCCGGCTTGAGGCACACATAGGCCGCCGCCAAGGGTCCGGAAAACCCAGGAGTTGGTAGAGGCTGTACTCGGCAAACCGATACAGTGACTTCCTTGATCTGAATTTATAATCCATCCCATTGCCTGTCCAGACTGGTGAGAGTGGGTTTTTGCCTGGTGTACGGCTTCTAATGCTGCTGTTGATGCACGTGCTGCGAGCCCTGCCTTAAGCGCTTATACTGCTAGTCCTACCATTGATGCCAAAGCTGTAACTCCTGCTGGCGTCAATAATACAGCTGATGCTTGTAGTAGTATGTAGTGTGCTTTTAGTGCCACCGTTGGTCTGAATGAAACGGTTTCATCGCGCCACACGCGCGCTACCGCATATGGTTCCTCAGGTGCGGAGCATCTGGTAATGCTACAGTTGCTCCTCGTGCTGTGCTGTGGTGTAAAGGAGCATGCCAAGCAGTGCAGAAGAGGCAGCGCTGTTATAAGGGCCTGCTGCTATACTGCTCCATTTAGGGTCTCCGCAAGGGCGGAGGAGCTCACCTGCAGACCAAAGAAGAACGTTCTCTAAAGTTAGTGTGATACTGTATCTAATGTCTTCATAATGGGGCACCATCCTCCAGGCTCATTAGAATATTGTCAGGAAATAAGGGAGGAGGAATGGCAAGCGTGAACGCAGTTTCACCCTCTTAGCACTTTGAGCCTTCACAGCTATGGCTGTTAGCTCACACACACACATTGCGTCTTCTTAAAGAGATAACACTACTCTGCAATAATTGAGATACATGAGCATACAAAACGATTCGTCAATTCTTTACTCTTCTATGAATATAACTAGTGTAGTTGAAAGTGCCTTGTAGCTGCCTACGCTACATTGTCTCCCCTCCGTCCCTCCCCGCCCCGCTTCTCATACCTCCTCATTTCAAGAGATATGCCATCGCCTTCCGTACCTGTTCGTTGAAATCAAATATTTGCAGGGCACCGAAACAATTTTCGTCCTAGCTTCCACTCCACAGGCAGGCCGAAACGCGAAAAACACTTGAAATGAGAAAAGCAAGTGTGATGTGTGCATCGTTGACTAAAAGAAAGGCACTTGCACTTGCCAAAAACAAATAAGAGACACAGCCAACACGAATGCGGCAACGCGATGGCGCGTCGTCGTTGGAGCGCTGAAATATGTGAGCATCCCGCTGCGAGCCAACATACGTCAAGAAGGCGTCCGTAAAGGGAAATCATAGTACATGCTAGTTCAGCAGTTATTCCTTGCATTACAAATTAGTGTCTGCATGCCAACACAGCCAGTGTGTGCAGCATGGTCGATTTGTAAGCATGCTAAGAGCTATGAGAAAAATATCGAGACAACATACCAGAGAGTGTCTACGGATAAGTCAGAATGCAGGAAACAAAACAAACTAACCTTAACAAAAGGGGACTACTAAAGCGCAATTGCACAAGGTTGGAGTAATATCAAGCAGAGGGTGGACATTTACAAAGAAACGCAAAGGGCCACTAGCATTGTTTGAAAAACATTCTCCGTAGCAACATAGGCCACAGCTGCTCCTCCGACCGCCACTGAGATTGGCGTTCCCGCATTCATTTCACTGAAAGCTCCCTTCTTGTGTGTCCTCGACGCTCGTTAGTCCCAGGATTCAGCACTGACCAGAGGTCCCTAGGGATCCCTCGCCTCTACATTAATACACACGCTTGCGCGGCAAAGCCCACGAAGAATCCGGGGGGGCTTTAAAACATTTGTAGGTAGCCAATAATAAGAGATCTGTGGTGCCTCCAATTACTAGGAAATCCAACAGACTATGAGAAGTGCACTAATTCATGAGAAAATCGCAAAGCGTCCTTGCCACCTGATCGCAGCCCTTTTTGTACGATTCCCGTCTTATGCACCTCGAAAAGCCTGCACGTCCATGGGGACCAAGTCTCCAGGGTGTAGAAGAAAAAGCCGCTGAACACAGTTGTATGCTACTCTGACGTGGGTATTCCACATATATTAGCGTGCACTAGCCAGCTGTCATCTGAGTTCATCCGCAGATAAAGGTGACTGCGGTCACCAAACCCCTAGATCTAACCTTGGACCCGAGAGGTTCCTCTGCGTAGACCAGGAATGCAGGAGGGTAACGAGTAGGCGACTGTGCTATCTCATTACAATATATATAACACCGTGCATATGATACCGCCAAGCAATTGGATTTTTGAGCATAGAGTTGTAACTGGAAGTGTGGCCTTAGTGCACTCCGTCTCTCGATATGCTTCAGGGTGACATGTAGTGCTCACATTATGGTCAACGTGTAGGAGGCTCAAGAAGGCGCGCCATAATGGACTGACAAACTTTATATTCCTATCCGTAATGCAAATGCTAGTCCTGGAGAGTCTGTGGAGCTTCTAAACGGTGTTCGAGCGTAATCGCGCGTGCTGAGCCGTGACAGAGCCTGAGCAAGAAATAAAATCAGGTCATTTGCTAAGTCTGTGGACGGAATCGTAAATGATATCCTGGTCTGTGCCCTGTGGCGTTATACTCGACGATCATGTCGATACAAAGTTTTTCAACAACCATATGGCCCTGCAAAAGGCCAAATTTGGGGGAATGGCGCCGCTTCAGATGCTGAAGATTTGAGCTTCACAGTGCATATTCCTTTGAAATCATTTTCTCAAGGCCACTCTTTTGCCATTTCGGACTGCGGGGATAAGAATTGATGCATGGGTGTTAAAAGCACCTGAAGCATGGAATGTGAAGAACGTCCTTGAACTAGTGCAGGCAACAGTGATTGCGCTGCACAATGTTGAACTGCTGGGGCGTCTCGAGAGCGCGTCAGCGAATCCCTCAGTGAAACCTAGTCAAATCTTATATTATTTGTTTGGTTAGCAAGGTGTGCCTAATCCAATGAAGGGTCCTAGCGTTACCAAATTCTTGAATACTATAGGTGAGGTTCGTTTAGGGCTGATGGTCAGTTTGGACACAAATATGACACCCCTATGAATAGTTCCGCCACTTGTGCGTTCTCTATCACCACAAGAAATATCTTTTTCCGGCGGTAGATAGCGCTGCTCAGCTTCAGAGAAGCGATGAAAATAGCAAGCATTTGCATGGCATTTTGCAGAACCAGTAGCATGTTAGAGGAGAAAAGCGATTGTCTCTGGCTTTGGCTGTGCAGAATATATGCCTCTCCTGCTAGCGCAACGCAAGTACAGGGGGAGTTGAAAAATGTCCGGTGGACGCCTTTGCTACAGCATCAGCCTCCGCTCGCCAGGTCACGGACTGGGTCTGTTGAAGCATATCAGTCAAGGTAGCAAAGATACGAGCGATCCCAAAAATCAAATTCGGGTAATACGATGCGCATGTCAGACCTGCGCATAGTGCATCCGAGTGGACATCAGTGCAGGCCACGCCATGCTTGCTTAAAGTTTTTGGCAGAATCGGTCCAATATCTGCAGCCGAAATATTGTATACCAGGCACTATGTTGTTCTCATAAAAACGAGCACGTGCATGTGTTGTAGCACACATGGCTACAGCCGTGGTGCACGCAATTGGCGCTGTAGGTGCTGAGTGCTCTGGCTAGATGTTACGACGTTGTCCATGTACACGGCCATACACTTTTACTTGATACGCTCAAATAAAAGGCGATAAACTTGTCATTGCAGCTTAGCTGGGGCTATAACAACTCTAAACGGCACAAAGATATACTCGGGTGTGCGAGTGCGAATGTGGAACTTGATTTCGTGCGTTTCATGAGGGTGCGCTTACATGTGCATGAGGGCGTCTGTGAAATCAAATATCGAGTAGATTGTTGATCCGTGTGATATGTTAGGCAGTTCGCTGTTATGAGGCATCTCATTCTTCTGCTTCACAGAAGGTGTGGTCAAGGGCTCAACATTAGCCCACATGGCCTATCTTCCGTCCCTTTTTGGTTCCAACAGCTAATTATGCCCTAAAGCCCTAGTCGAGTTTGGCAAGTTGCCATTTTCATTCAATACCCCGCCTGCTGCTCAGACTTCGCTTTGTGCTGTGAAGGCTCCTGACGCCGCAGAATATAGCTTGAGACTGTGTCCGGGATTAGCTCAGACTAGTGCCCTGGACGACCAGAAAGGGCCCGCCTGCTGGCAGCTTATTCGTATTTGACAGATCAGCAACTCTTTTTTGCTAACTGTTGCTATTCTTTGACCAAAATTTCAGTTGAGTTCCATAGCAAAGAACCAGCTGTAGAGCCACTAAGAGAATGCCTCCTCACACCCCTCTTCTCTTAACGCTCTGCTGAGCCGCCTGCATAAACAATCTACCTTACCCTTCTGAGGTACTGACCCTAACTGGCGGACCATACCCACACAACCATTGTTGAGTAGACCAGGAGATGTGTCTTTCTAGCGCTTCCCGACAGAAATCTTTCCAGCACGCGGCCGTGATCGCATGCTTGCCTTTCATTGGACTGCCCATCGCAAACATAAAATTACGTGTCACTCTACGAACCCAGTTTTAAATTCATGGGCGGCGCTGAGAAGAGAAACTTTTGCCTACAAGTTGCACGTAAGTGCTGCTTCCTAGCCACTCGTTGCTGTTTGCCGCCCGTCAACAAAGCTGAGTCGTATGGACTGACTAACAAGTAAAAACGCATATTACACATTTGCGCTGTCTTCTCAGATAGCCGGTACACCCCTGTCAAATAACGCCAGCATTTCTCGATCATTAAAATGGACTCATATCGACGCAGAATCGATATGTGGTAGGTCCTCAGCCACGGATCTATATTCTGCAGCTCTCTTCACCGCTGTTGCCTGGGTGGATGCTTCCTTT